CAAAAACAAACCTACGTGTGTGCACGTTTGCAACCTTAAAGAAAGAGAAAAAAGCTTAAGTTTATAGAGTGATGCAGAAAGAAAGGAGAGGAAAAAAAAGCTGTTTTTGAAGAGTCCAGTCAGATGGTAATAAAGAGCATCTCTATACTAGAAAAGGAGAGATAATGGAGAAAGTGAGAAATGGAGGTGTGGAGTGAGATCTGTCCCCAGAGGCAGCTTAGATGAGAGTGTTTATCTCTGGAGACCTGCCTGGGCTCCTGCATCTCTCTGTTAGTTCTGCAGCAGCTCAGAATCTTCTCCTTCAGTGTTCAGATGCTGCTCTCCATGACGACGTGTGAGCCTGTGGTGTTCACATAAACATGTTTACTGCGCTGATGGAAAATTATCTTTATGGCATTACAGGGGCTCTGGTTATTGTACACAGGTGGCAGGTGTTATTTTTAATAGAATTCTGATATAATGCAGTTTTCTCATTGTCATTCGTGTGTACTGGGGAGTCAGAACAAAACGGAACGTCATGTTTCAAGAATGTGTTAGTTTGTTTTAAACCTGGCACCAGATCACCAAGGCAAAGATGCACTAGTGTTCTAGTGTTATTTAGGGGCTAATAGTAGTAATAGAGTTCAGTCATACGAAATGGTACGATTTTAAAAAGGAGGCGTGGTACCTGACCCCACCCCTAACCCCAACCGTCATTGGGGGATAAGCAAATCGTACTAAATTGTACGAATTAGATCGTACAAATTCATACGAATTAGCCACTAAATGAAAAAGTTACGAATTGCTGTGAGATTGTGTTGTTTATTCTCAGACTGAGTTATTTTTAATTATTTTAGTTTTAGTTAAGTCATTTTTATAAAGTTTTATAAGTTTATAAATTTTTGTAGTGGGAATTTTATTATTACCTTTTACTATTATTATTATTAGTATTAGTATTATTTGTATTATTATTATTATTATTATTATTGGTAGTAGTAGTAGTAGTAGTAGTAGTAGTATTGTTGTTTATTGTTATTGTTGTTGTTATTATTATTATTATTATTGTTTTTGTTTTTATTAGATAAAACTTTATATTGAAGGTTCATTTGAGTATTAGTAGACTGTCTGCTTAATATATGTTATTACTGCTCCATTAGCAGACATTTAACTGACCATAAAAAACTTGCAAGTACATGTCAACTTACACTAACCCTAACGCCAACCCCAACAGTCTACTTATAATCTACTGATAATAAGTTGACATGTAGATGCAATGTAACATAAATTAAACAAATGGACAATCGAAATAAAGTAACCTATTATTATTATTATTATTATTATTATTATTATTATTATTATTATTGTTGTTGTTGTTGTTGTTGTTGTTGTTGTTGTTGTGTTAAGCTTTATTCAGTTTTAACTGCAGTTCTTTAACTTAAAGCATAGTGTGTAATTTATGTGGTATGTTCAGCTTAAATTTTATGTTTAAAAATCATTCTCATTTTTGATTCTAGTTTAATTTTTAATTTTATTCTTTTTTGGATTGGCTGCTTTCATTAAAGTTAACAACAAGATTTTGCTTATTTACACAGAAATCAGTAATGATTTATAAAGTTAGAAAGTGCTTTAAAAACAATGATAAAGAAAAATAATATTTTTATTTTTTTACATAATATGTATAATAAATAATATTCCTCAAAAACCTGTATGAACACCACACTTTTAATATGTGGTTTATTAGAAATAGTTATTATTTACAGCCATATTACTCACTGAAGCTAAGCAGGGCTGAGCCTGGTCAGTACTTGGATGGGAGACCACTTGGAAAAACAAGGTTGCTTTTGGAAGTGGTGTTAGTGAGGCCAGCAGGGGGCTCTCAACCTGCGGTTTGTGTGAGTCTAAATGCCCCAGTATAATGAAGGGGACACGATACTGTCAGTGAGTGCTGTCTTTCGGAGGAGACATTAAACCGAGGTCCTGATGCTTTGTGGTCATTAAAAAACCCATGGAATTCCTGTAAAGAATACATTTTCTTCACTAATCATGACCTCCCAATCATTCCCCATCCACTGAATTGGCTCTATCACTGTTTCTCCACTCCACCATTAGCTGGTGTGTGGTGAGCCTATTGGCGTCGTTTTCCTGTGGCTGCTGTCACATCCAATTTGATGCTACACACTGATGCTGGTGCGGAGAGACCACTCTTATAATTGTGAAGCACTTTGGACACTCTAAAAAATAACTCTAGAGGTCTGTTACCACTACATAGTTTAATACATTATTGTAACTTAAAAATTCTAAAATGCTGATTAGATTAAAACTTTTAAATTGCCAGAATAATTTTATTAAGTTTTCAAAACAGGAAAATATTGAAAATTACATTAATTTAAAAATTGGGCTAATTTAAAAGTAAACAAAATGTCAATTACTTTTAAACAATATTTAACTTGTAGCAACCCAAAGAAATTGGGTTGATAACTCAATTTTTCCACACTAATGGAGTTGTTTTGTATTTTTCCACACACTGATGTTTTATGCTGTTTTTTATACTGATAATATGGAACACTACATGTTTTTGTTTTGTAAAACAATAAAAACCTGTTTTATTAAAAAAAATACTAAAAACAAAAATGCTGTTGTTAAATGTATTTCATACAAACATGAACAGTAAATTTGCTAAAAAAAAATTAAACAATTACAGCTACTTAATTTATTTGAGGTTCTAAACTTAAAAACATGCAATTACGCACAAAACACTGGATTTGTATTTAATTTTAATTAAAAAACTATTTGAAACAACTTTTTTTTTTTGAGTTCTTAACTTAAAAAAATGGAGTTTATGCTAAGTAAAATGCCTCTGATTGAAGAGGAAAAGATTTAGCTAACATAATAAAGTTTGTTGTCTGAACCTAATTTTGGCAAATGTTGTCGTAACTTGAATATATTAATGCCAACTGTTGCGTTAATTTTTTTAGTTTTGTCCAAACAATATTTTTTAGAGTGGATGTAAGGCCATACACAATAAATGTGGTACATACAGTAAATACACCTTACATTTTATAAATAAAATATTATTTTAGTATTTTTCTATATTATAAAAAAGAATCATAGTAAAATAATATTGGGTCACACTTTATTTTGATTGTCCGTTTCTTGAATTTAAGTTACATTGCATCTATATGCCAACTGATTCTCAGTAGATTATAAGTAGACTGTTAGTTTGGGGTTGTCGTTAGGGTTAGTATTAGTTGACATGTACTTGAAAAGTTTCTTATAGTCAGTTAAATGTCTGTTGAAGTAGCTGTATCGACAGATAATAAGCAAACAGTCTAATACTCAAATGGAGCATCGAAATAAAGTGTTACCTACATTGTTATTTATATATATATATTCCTCATAAATGCTGTGTTAATTGAGCACCAAAGCTTAATGGGTGGTATATTGAATAATATGTATCATCTATGAATAAAAATTATATTTTTATTTATAAATGCAGTAATTCATAACTTAATGTGTGGTATATTAAGAAATATGTATTATTTATAAATAAAAATCTTACTTTATTATTTTTTTTAAATAATAATAAATCATAATAAAATAATATGTGTATTCATAAACACTAACCATGTCAAACACCTGTATTAAATAAACACCATAGCTTAATTTGTGATTTATTTTAAGAAACAAATTTTTTTTTTCTAAATCCTAAAAATTCTGAATAAAATATTTATTTTATTTATAATAAGTATTCCTTAAAATCTGTATCAAATAAATCTGTATCAAATTGCTTATTTTATTTTGGTTTCTCTAAATCCCTTTTCTTCCTAGTATTAAAAAAAGAATGCAACCTTTTGACACTACAGGCAGTTCAAAAAAATAAAAATAGCAAGGCAGTTAATTACAGCTGGGCCTGTTTCAGCATGTTTTACCATTATCATGAATTATCAGATGTGATGAATTTCGGAATAACAAGAGAAAATCTCTTTTACATGTCTTCTTTAGTTTTATTTTTAATCTCTTTTTTTTTGCAAACAGCTTTTAGTTACAACCATCTAAATGCTTTAAAAAATTAATTATGGGGTGTAAAGGAATCTTAAACAGCTGTGATCGGTTTTCCATTGATATGTAAAGTGATTAGATTTTTCTTGCACTCATAAATCTATGTCCCTATAATTAGTGTCTGATCATTATTGTACCTAAATAATGTAATAGGACAGATGATAAATGATGAATAGTATAATTGACACAAATTGAGTTAAATTTCTGTTCAATTATGGGCATGCGGACATGAATGTTTGATGTTCTAAATAATAAAAGTGCAGAAATCAGTCAGAGGAAAAAGCATAAAAGCGGATGCCCTTCCCAGCTCCAACTCATCACCGGAAAACATCCATTCACGCACATACACTACGGACAATTTAGCTCACCTAATTCACCTATACCGCAGGTATTTGGACTTGTGGGAAAAACTGGAGCACCCAGAGGAAACCCACGCAAACACAGGCAGAACATGCAAACACACAGAAATGCCAACTGACCCAGCTGGGGCTCAAACCAGCGACCTTCTTGCTGTAAGGCGGTTGTGCTACCCACTGCGCCACCATGCTGCCCTTATGTTTTATTTGTTTATATTTATTTTATATTGTAAAACTCTTATTTATTTTTTATATATAATTTTTTACATTTTGGCTTATTTTGTTTTGTTTTTTATAGTATTTATTTAAAAGTCAGTTCATTTGAGCTTTTTTTATTATTATTTATTTTAATGTTATCATTATTTTTTATATTATTTGTACACTTTTTTATAATAATTTTTTAAACAACAGCATATGTCTTGCATTGAGTCGTGCGAATATGTGTCAATAAACAACTAAAACTTTTCAAACAACCCAAAAAACTTGATATTCTCATTTTCTGCAGTTTTGTATACAGACAAAAGCACGTCACTGGTTTCATTGTTTACATGATTCCCAAAGTATTCCCTCTTCTGATCACATCCAACCTCTCTCCTTTCTCATCTCCAGATCTGTGATAAAGAGTGGCATTACTACGTCATCAATGTGGAGTTTCCATCAGTAACCCTCTTCGTAGACGGAGTGACATACGAACCATACCTGGTGACAGACGACTGGCCCATCCACCCTTCAGAGATCGATGTACAGCTGACCGTCGGCGCCTGCTGGCAAGGTGAGCCTCTGTTTTGATTATCCTTTGAAAAAAGAACGATCGATAAAATGAAATGGAGGCATAATTGTGGTTTGGCCAGTGCTGATGCAGGAGATGATGAATCAGCAAGCGTCGATTTCTGTTTTAGAGATGTGATCAGATATGGTCTCAGATATGAAAGAGGGTGTGACTGAGAGAAGTCAGATATCTACATTATTGATATGACAGTGTGAGCATGGGCAGCGGTGGTTCGAATACCAAGAGAACGACGATGTGTTTGGCCTCGGGCTACCCTGATTCTTCATTTAATCAAAGAGACTCGGGCGTGAAAACATCAAAAAGCGAACACGGCCTGTCAATTTCAGCCTTTTGAAATGGAGCTAATGATCGCATTTGAATGGAGAGACTGTCCTTAACATCGCTTTCATGAGCTAAATAATTGAACAGGGCTCAGAGAGAATGGCATCATGGCTAAATCATTGTTTTATCCGACGTGGTCCGGATAAGTTTTGCCTATTTGGCACCGTTTTTACATTTCCTTTCATCCATGCCGATTGCGGATTATTCTCACTTCTTTAGCTTTGAATTGTGACTTTTTTCTTTTCTTTTTTAAAAGAGGCCTATAGTTGAGGATTAAGAGAGCCTGAATAGAGGACAAGTTCACTTGCTATTACATCCCAATGAGGCTGGTCTAAGCTCCACTAAACCGCAACTGATAACTTTTCGAGCTATTAGCGGCCGAGATTGCTTCTCGCACCCTGTCCATTTTCACTTTGCGCAATCAGCGACGTAACGACAAGCCACCTCATAATGGAAAGCGGGGATGGCATTTGTTCAAGCTAAATTGAGATCCTTGTCTTCTTTGGGGGAGAAATGGGATTTGGTGGTGATTGTCTTCATGATACATCAAATAGGATTAGCAGCTTTTTTTCTAGGACTCCGTTTGGACGTTGAATGAAATAGTGGTCTAAATATCAAAATTGTGTGTTGTAAGAATTAATTCATAGACTGCAATATTTTTATATATACTGTGTATAGATGTATTTATAAATTTGTATACAGTGTATATATATTGATAGATGAAGTTTTAAGCTAATAAACATGTATTGCTGCTGAAACTGTGCAGGTAACTTCAGGTCAAGTTTTTCATAATGTAAATCATATTAGGTTTGTTCTTTTAAAAATACTTTAAAGAATTTAAGGAATAAGCTCAAAATTGGGTTATCCAGCTAATTTTGGATTTTTTTTATTCTCTGGTTTGCTTTAAAGAGTTTTTGTCAGTTAAATGTACTGAAAGGGAAGTGAAAGTGAAGTATGTCACTTGAATTACATTTTTACACACACAGTTCATTCTATGTTAATCCACTAGGTTAGAAGCGGGTGCTACTTTATGCATGTTTGTTTCAGTGAGTGCAGTTGAGTAAGGGGCATATGATGCTGAAGATGTTTTTTTTTTTTTTTCCTTATTTACATATTTCTCTTTAGTTATTTAGAGGTGGAGGAGGGATTAGTTAGCGGGTGTTTAAATAGTTATATTCTTTGATTTGGCACCGCTTATTTTCCTTCACTCCATCAGGTATGGCTGTTTACTTTTTGCATTTATTTTACATATTAGTAAATATATTTTGGGTGATTTAAATATTAATTCCTTTATCTTTATTGTTATAAAGCGAACCACCTTTTTTTGCCACGTCGTTGTCTGTGTTGATTTATAGCAGCTAACATCTCAGAGGAATTCTTAAAATATTGGGTTGTCATAATTATGTTAAGCCCTTTTTTATCCTTTGAGCCACACAGGGCGTAACAATATGCAAATCTACAGTTTGACTAATCTGACATATTTTGTTCTCTTTTTTTATTGTTTTTTTGTTTGTTGTTTATTTTATTGTTGAGATCTGAATATGTTCTGGTTTGTAATCTGTTTAAATCAAACAAACAATCTTAAATCAAAAACCTTTTACTTTATTTTTGGTAAAGGTGTGATTAAGGTGAAATCAAACCATCTTGAGTCAAGAAGTAACAAGGGAAAAAATATTTCTATATTCCTTGCGGTTAAATGGCAATAAGCATAAACATGAGTGCATCTTTGGACAATTTGTGGCATTATCGAGGAATTGAGATAATGGCTGTGATAATTAATCAGACCGTCCTCTATCTGTGTTCCAGATTTCACAGCTTTTTACCAAACGATTTATAGGGTTGCCATAGAACAGAAGACGATGACAGCTAATAAATACAATAGATTCCTGTGCATCTTCAGTGCTTGACCCCTGAAACATTTTTGAGCCGCTCCAATATAATAAGTGTATATAAAGGGTGATGAATAAGGTCATTACGGCTCTGCTCCGCCTCAGTAACCTATGACTATTTTTGGTTAGAATGAGAAATCAGATGTGCTCATTTAGATGTAAGGTCATGCCTGTGTCTTGTCTTTAGGCCTCAGGATGTGTTCTGCTTGTTATTGTCCGTCATGCCGCTACTGATCGATACAGATGTGACGGTGACAGCTCTTATATGCCATCCGAGGGCTGCGGTCTCATTAGTGCTTTTGTCCTTTAGGGGGAGCACGGACGAGTATGCAAATGTTCCTCTGCTGTTTCATCTGTGGGATAACATTTAATTGATAACATCTGTCAACCAAATAATTTAAAAGCAGAAGCAATTAAGCAGTAGAAGAGCAGACCCTCATTGTGAGGCTTTTGGAGTGACAGTATTCGCTGCATCTGGAGCTATTAGACTGTGCAAATCTGCCAGTTCATCAGTGAAGGATGTATGAGGGGAAAATCAGCAAGTGTTAAAGAGGACTGGCGTTGCTTTTTCTCTTTTGAAGTAGCTTAAAAGTCAGTGTGACCAGTTATTTACTTAAAAGAATTAAAAGATGTTATGACTCGGTTTGTAAAATATATTTTGTTTCCAGCCACTGAAAGTCTTTTTTTTAGCCCGATCTCACAAGGACACAAAACTATTTTACACTTTGTCTGTTTAGTGGCTAATTTGTACAAATTCATACAAGTTCAGTCCTAGGAAAATATACAGTTTTTAAATAGCAACCAAACCCCACCCCTGAACCGAATTGTCATTGGGTGATAAGCAAATTATAATAAATTGTATGAACGAGGTTGTACAAATTCATACGAATTGGCTACTAAATCAAAAAGTTACAAGTTTTCATGACTTTCTATAGCATTGGATTGTTTCATATCTGATTCCAATAAATTTGAAACACAAAGAGACTAATGCATATTCATTAAAGGTGCTGTATATATTTTTTTTACTTTTTTAAAGCATATTCCTAGATACATTTACAGATACATGCTAAGTGAACACTTGTTTATCTAAAAAACAATGCTGAAGTCAGTTATTCTGCTTTGAAAACGCGAGTTACGTACCAGATCGTCTGTCTTTGTTTTAGTTCTTTTAACCTGCCTAATGTTAGTCAATTAAATTTCAGTATCCAGGGTTACCTTGGTGGAAAACAGTGTATTTTATTTATTCATTCAGGAAGGCTCTCAAAAGTAAGTGTCCGCGATCAAAATGCAACCTCCAGTGAAGAGTAGCAGACTGAAATTAGACGCAGATTCAGACTTCTGCATGAAATGGTTATTAATGAGCAAATATTATAAATATTATGAACGTAAACATTACATTGAGCAAGTTACATTGTGACCCCATGTCCTAAGTCAACTCAACTCTCAACTCAACTCAATTTATTTCTAGAGCACTTTCAGCAAACCACAATGAGTTTAAAAGTTTTGTACATAAAACACATAAAAACACATGCAAATATACACAAAAACAAAATACATAAACTTGCATCACATGATTAAAAGCTAAAGAAAATAAGTGTGTTTTCAGTGATTTCTGTAAAGACTCAAAAGATGGAGCTGACAACATTCTACATGAGAAGATTTGCATTGATAAGTAATTTGGCTGTGTTCACCAGAAGAAACATGACAGAAATTTAAATACAGTCATTCAGAAGCACAGAATAATGCACTTACTGCACTCCAATGAAATGGTAAGGTTTATAATCAAATTAATACATATTAAATGTCTTTAACAATATTAAATGTACACGCTGAATCGCTGGTATGTGTTGGTTTAAACGGGAGTCAAAGTTCTAAAGTTCAACTTTAAGCAGTTTATTTTGTTTTCAAGATCTGAGGTGAACTACGCGCTGCTGCTTTCAGTATATGGCAACAAATGTCATGTGAAATAGCATTCAAATTCACATTATTAGCATTTAACACTGAATAAAGCACATGAGGTGTACCTGAGCTGATCACTATCAGTTTATCCTGTTGTTCAGCTGCAATAAATAGAAGCCATTTCTAAAATATAAATTTCAGGTGTTGGTTAGAACAAAAACTCTTTTTAATATGGAAAATATTTATTTTACTGCGTGCCGTTGCTTTTAGTTAGAACACGACTTAAATTAGCCTTTAAGCTTGACATTTAAGCTCTCTGTTGATGTCATCAATCTGGTAACCTGTGTTTGCATGTTTTAAATCAGGCGCGCAATATCTAGTTCAACCACTGGGTGTCAAACTTACATACTGCACCTGTAATACATTACAAAAAAATAACTAAATATACAGCACAGCATACAGTAGGCAACAGAAGTGGTTCTCAACCATCCGCTACACTCTGTCTTTATTTTCTACACTTTCTTTGTCATAAAGAAAGCATTCTTCATTTTGGCTATTATTATTACCATTACTATCATTACAATAATGGTGGCTATGAATTGTGAAGACTCCTTTCAAAACTCTTTCTACAGATAAAAAAGGACAACGTTAAACTCAATCTGATTTTTGTTATGTGAAGAATAAAAGTTTTAGAGGCAATATGTAAATGTGCTTGGCATTTATTTTTTTAATATGGGAAAATTCCAGAATAAATTTTTGGACTATGATGAACTTACAAGAAGAGCTGAGTGATTTGATACAAAACATCCAATAATGATACAATACAATGCTTAATTGTATATCATATTTAAAACAACAGAAGTCGACCAAAGTGCTGCACAGTGTATAAAATAAAACAAAGACAAGTCAACAAATGTGTATACTAAAAAAAATAATAATACAATTAAAAGGTTAAGGTTTTAATATTGCATATTTGATTTAATACAGGGTTAACGACTGAACATTTTATTTTACTTTATTTACATTGTATTTATATATTGACAGACAGACAGACAGACTGACAGACTTAATGTTTGTGAGAAATGCTACAGTAAGAACTATCCAAATGATTATTTGATCTATTTGTTTTGGAGTTAATTCAAGCCTTCCTGCAACGATGAGTCCCACACAATGTTGTTACAAAGTTCACGCACATACAAACACAGTGGACGCACATTTAACTTTGCACTGTTTTTGGACAGCAAATGTAATGGGATGTACACGTGTTTTTATAATTAGATTGTTTATATAAACATACTTTTATAAGTTTTAAACTTGTAAAACTCATTCTTGATCAAATTTGAAGATGATTGATGATCACAGAGAGCTCAACAGTCCCAGTCTTTTAGTCCCAGTTGCTTTGCGCATGTCCTGTCTTGTTGATACGATTATAAGCATTTATATCTAGACATGTTAATACCCAACTGTCAATCAAATTAGTGGGCGGGAAAACCACACTCCTACGTCACATTGTGGTCAGCCTCAAAATGGGAAAGATTTGGATTAAATTTTTATGTCAGAAAATTCACCCCAATATGACTGTAGACACTATCTTTACACACAGTTCTGTCCAAATGTGCCCTATAAAGCATGTCCAGTTTTTAAAACAAGAGTCCCATATACTAGGATATATAATAAGCTGTGTTACCTTTAGAAAATAAAGGGGGGAAAAATCATAATAGTTGTAATCACACGTTAAAACTGAGTGGTCAGTCAAATTCAGTTAGGACATGCAGTTATTTACTTTAAAAAAATACAATAAAAGATGTTGTGACTCAAGATGTGTTTATAAAATATGTTTTGTTGCCAGCCACTAAGAATGTGTGTATAATTTTTTTTTTATTTTCTGGTTACAGGAGGAGAAGTGACCACTCCAAGGTTTACACAGTATTTCCGGGGAAGCCTCTCGGGGTTGACTATCCGACCAGGGAAAATCGCCACTCAGAAGGTGATCTCATGCCTACAGGCGTGCAAGGAAGGTCTCGACATCAGCTCTCTTGAGAGTTTGGGCAAAGGCATAAAGGTACACGCGCACTTACACACTCATACATATGCAAAGCTTTCGAATGGAAAGATTATAGGCAGTCCATTATTGGTCCATCTCTATAATATCATCTGAATATATTTGAGAATCCTTTGACATCAGTCATTCCAAGCCATCATTTATTCATCTATATGTAAATGTGTTGACTCCTTTATTCGCTCCTTTGCTCTTAGGTTTTCTTTTTTCCTTCGATTATGAAAATTGGCTCCTTCACTCACTCTCTTGATCCCTTTCAGTTCCACTTCAACCCGGCTCAGTCGGTGTTGGTCATGGAGGCGGATGACTTGGAGAGCATCAACACAGCCATGACAAAAGTTTCCTACATCAACTCTCGACAGTTTCCAACTCCCGGGCTGCGCAAACTTCACATTACCACAACAGTCCAGTGAGTATTGTTCCAAATGTAAATGAAAATCCTATCAAACATCACCTCATAAAGACCTTAATGGATTGATTATGCTGCAATGAAATCTGTATACAGGATGAATACTAAGCATATGAGCATGCAACATGACTCTCAATTACCTTTATGCAATCTGGCTCTTATATTAACTCATTCCCAGATATCCCAAGGAAATTACCCGGGCATATTTTAGTACAAGAGAAGAACATAAAGAATGATTCCTGTTCTGAAAAATGCAGCTGTGAAATTAATCATATTTAATTGTGTTCATTGTTTCTGCTCTAAATGTCAAAAACACCCTACCATGCATCAAGTAATTTTCCACATCTCAACTTTCAATAGTTACCTTTCAATATTTTGCACTAAACGCCAACATTTTTGATTAATACAAAGTATGAGTAACTTTGCATGACTCTCAAGTACCTGCATGCCTTCTGGATCTGACATTAACCAATTTCTACATATGCCAAAGTACATTTAAACAAGCATCTTCGAGTAAGCAAGAGAGTCAAAAGTGTTGGTTTGTTAAAAAAAATACAGCTGAATCTAGAATTGTGTTTTAATTTCGATCATGTGTACTGCTCTAAACGTCAAAACCTATGCCTCAAGTATACAACATTAGCTCATAATGTAACAACGGGCTGGAGTGACAGATACAACCTGAGGTAAAAACCAATATGCAGGTTTATTCAGCGTCAGGCAAGCAGTGGTCATACAGGTGCAAACGGATATATATAGACAGTCCAGAATCGTAGTGAGATAAACAGGCAAAAGGTCGTAAGGCAGGCGGCTAAACAGGAGAACAAGGAAAACAAGGCTAGGATCAAACATGGAGAAACAAGACAGGGAAACGCGTTGTAATGTCACACTAGGTAAACAAGACTCGGCCACCAGGGTGAGTGAATGAGTGTTTTATATATGGTGTGGTATCAGTCTGTGACAAGGTTCAGCTAATGATTGCAATCAGGATAGATGAATGACCAGGCGTGCGTGTTTAGAAGAAGTGCATGTGTGAAAATGTAGTCCTGGGATATGCGGAAGTGTAGTACTGAGAGTTCGTGTGAGAACCTGGTTGTGTGACACATAAAGTATGGTGTCCTATTTTCTGAGATGCAAACCTGGGACATTTTCTTTGTCAATGGTAAAAATAACATTTAAATCTCAATTACAATTATCTGTAAGTTAATAAATAGGGATAATACAGTTTCTTTTTTAATTTAAAAAGCTCTAGTTGGGGAAAATAAAGCAAAATTTGGATTGACATTTGGTCATTTTATCACTTAAAAGAGTTTAATAGACTGATTATGATGCAATGAATACAAAAACATGTATGTTTACCAAGTGGTCAATGAATACAAACTTTAATTTAAACTTTATTTTAAAAAGTAGTGTAACAGCTGCTAACTCATTCTAATATGTTCCCAACAGATGTTCCCAGAATTATCTGAGCATAAGAAAAATAATAACTAGAAATGCAACTAAAACTACTTTAATTTATTTTTACAAAGGATTGTACCCAGACAAGAGTCAATTGCCGTGCTGGATAAATATTGCTTTAATCATGATCATGAGTTCTGCTTCTCTAAATTAAGTATAATTGTCTTTATTATTGCCCTGCTGGTTATTTATGCACTTTTAAATGGACACTTTTATAATTTTTTCAGATTGTGGTTGTCAGATTTTGGCATATTTCAAGTTCTTTACTCAAGGGGTTCCACTCTAATTAAATATATAAAACATATTGAGTTTTACTGTGCATCCATCCACTAGATCAAATACAGTATACACAAACCAACAGTTTGATTTAAAATGTAATTATAATTAAATTTTAAATATTTTATTTTATTTATTTATTTATTTATTTATTTATTTATTTATTTATTTATTTGTTTGACATAGACAGACATGCTGACTGACAGGTTGGTTGATTTATTAATTGATTGATTGATTGATTGATTGATTGATTGATTGATTGATTGATTGATTGATTTGACTGACTGACTGGCTGACTGGTTGATTGATTGATTGATTGATTGATTGATTGATTGATTGATTGATTGATTGATTGATTGATTGATTGATTGATTGATTGATTGATTGATTGACTGGTTGATTGATTGATTGATTGATTGATTGATTGATTGATTGATTGATTGATTGATTGATTGATTGATTGATTGATTGATTGATTGCACTATAATTTGATATATTTTCTTTTGTTTGTAGTTTCACTAATGTCAACCTTTGGCAGTTTCCCACTCTTTGTTTGTGCAAATTTCCCTTAAATATCACAGTGCATTAAGTACCACACTAAACACTCAAAAAAAAAAAAAATCGTCCGTCTCTCCATCAGCCTATAAAGACTGTAATTGATTAATTATGCTGCAGTGAAATCTGTCTACAGGATGAATACTAAGTACTGTATAACAGTAAATATTCAAGTGAATGATTAAGCTTAATTAGCCGGCTTCTTAAGGGATTCGTTTTAAGTGTTGAGTGCTGTAAATCATCATTTTATTTTCTTTAATCTCACAAGCAAGTGGTGGTAATAAAAGCAAAACTAGACATTTATGAGAGAAGGATATACAGTAACAGAAGGCTTTCTCTGATCAATACCACATAGCTGAGGGATAAGCCTGCAGGGTTGCATTGGTTAGTAACATCTGTCTCACACAGCATCACTCTTGAGTACCAGCATGCAATCTGGATCTGCCTTTAGCTCATACTCCCAAATTTCCCAAAGAAATTTACCCAGGCAACTCTGAGTAGAAAAGAAGATAGTCAAAAGTGTTAAACTGCTAAAAGAATAAATAAAAAGTGTAAACTAGGGTTATGGTTTTTAGGATCACGATTTAGACATTAATCAATTAATGAAATATTTTCATTTGTGATGTTTGCCCACTGGTAGTTGATCCAGAATTTGTATTTATTTTATTTATTTATTTATTTTTTGCTACACACCTTCACAATGTTTCATCATTAGGGATGCCAGATGCGTAATTTCCCAAATCACAAGAGTTAACCTAAAAGGATAAGCTTTAAACTCTGAATATTCCTAATCTGGCAACACATCCACTGAAAAGAAAGGACTATGAAAATAACTTTTTATTTTATTTCTACTAGAATAAAAGCAGTTTTATTTTTTAAACAATTTTAACGCCTTAAAGTTTTCTTTATGCTTTCATCAAAGTGCAAAAAATACCAACTATATAAACTGGTTTGATTTGAAGTGTCAGTTAGGCTTTTGGTGTTTAAAGCTACCTAAATCAGCTGAACACCAGCTTGGAAACCAGACAGATCATTTTAAACCAGTTTACAACCACTTACCATTATGCATTCGGCAGACAGTTTCATCTAAAGCGTTATATTTACGGCATACATTTCAACAATAAATGCACTTGCTGCTACTAAACTAAACCTTTGACCTTGGTATAGCAAGTGTCACATACTGTTTGAACTACTGAGATGATGTGCTGAGGCTGTTATTTTCTGCCTGGGAGTGTTCATGTAGTGTTCTGGCAGTGGTCTTGCATGTCTGGGTAATGGACAGGCCTGCTGGTGGTGATGACTGCAGTGAGAAGAGCTGATGAGCACATGAAAGACCAATGATGAAAGAGAAACTGCTGTGTCAGAGAGCCAGTCTCCACAGTACAGCACAACACAACACAATTAAAGAGACCGTCGAACAGCTTGACACAGAACAGGCCAGAGAAAGACAATATAATGCCACAAAACTTGACTTAAAAGTTAGAAAATTATATTCTGTCATCAGCCATGTTTCTATCCGCCTATTAATATGCTCATTTTGGAATATCAAATAAACATTCTTAATAGAAATGCCAAGATGTGCATACATTTGAAAAATGTGCATGTAATGAGTTTTAATGACTCCCTGACTATTGGAAAGCAGGAGACGGTGAATCAAAAACTTTTAATAAATTTATTAAATAAATAAACCTAAAACAAAAGGGTGTCAACAGTCCTTGAAACCAACATAAAGTGTCCAGGCATGGTTCTCCCTTGTCTTCCACTGCCGGCAGCTAGCTCTCTGCAACTCTCACATGGTTGCCCACTGAAGCTAAGCAGGGCTGCGTCCGGTCAGTACCTGGATGGGAGACCACATGGGAAAGCTAGGTTGCTGCCGGAAGTGGTGTTAGTGAGGCCAGCAGGGGGCGCCTAACCTGCGGTCTGTGTGGGTCCTAATGCCCTAGTATAGTGATGGGGACGCTATACTGCTCAGTGAGCGCCGTCTTTCGGATGAGACGTTAAACCGAGGTCCCAACTCTCTGTGGTCGTTAAAAATCTCAGGATGTCCTTCGAAACGAGTAGGGGTTTAACCTGGCCAAATCTGCCCACTGGCCTCTGTCCATCATGGCCTCCTAACCATCCCCATATTCAATTGGCTTCATCACTGTCTCCTCTCCACCAATCAGCTGGTCTGGCGCAAAATGGCTGCCGTCGCATCATCCAGGTGGATGCTGCACACTGGTGGTGGATGAGGAGATCCCCCCCGATTGTGTAAAGCGCTTTGAGTGCCCAGAAAAGCGCTATATAAATGTAAGGAATTATTATTATTATTGCTGTCTCTCCTCCTTTTAAGTTTCCAGAGCTCCATCATGAGACTTGTGACAGGTGGTGCACATAGGTGACACTCGTTAACACTAAAGCTCTCACGTAAATTCCTAAAATGCACTGAGGAAATTGAACATTTTATTCAATACAAAAAAACCTGCATAAAGGAGGATGGAAACACATTTAATGAACAAATTCTAGCATGCGCATCAAAAAAAGTCTTGATTTTGTTTTAACAGATCATGTGTTGACAAAAATGGTTGTAATGGGGCATCTGAAATGTTTTGGTCATTTTAAAATCCCAAAATTCAGTCCTCAGAGTGGTTCGGTATTATTTCCTCTGGCATTGAGGGGCTACATTCATTATTTCATCTTCGAAGGTGCAAGTAATTTATTTATTAGTAATTTAC